CTGAGGTCCAGACTTAAAATGGTTGTAGCGATGGTCGAATACAGAACAGTAACCTCTTAGAAAAGATTAACATTCAAATACAAGTACAAGATAAGCAGAATTTTCCAAATCCCATCTGCCAAAACCAAGATAGGAGATCAGGCACCTCGCATTCGAATTCTTCGCGAATATAACAGAATAAACGATACTTATTTAGAGCTTGTTAGCCTATTATCGGCTAGCGAATTTAAAAAAGCATTGTTAAGTGCCCATCTGATGCCTAATCCGCTGTTTTGCTGGTGGTTTTTTTGCTTAACAAAAAAATACTAGAAAAATGTATTGTGTTTTTATTTTTTTGTAACATTTATGTTTTCCATAATTGTTACATATTTTAGAAAAGGCAGCTTGTGACATATACTGAAGATAACATTATGTATGATGTGGTATACTTTTATAAATAAGTACCTCGGGCAATTGAATATTAAATAAAAATATATATAGATTGGCAGATAGTAAAAATATAATATGTATCTTAATTAAAAATGACGATGATATTGAAATTTTATTCTACATTATTGGCTGCAAAAAGCTATACGTTTGTTGATGAATAATTATGCTGTCGTGAGTGGGAGACTGACAATTAACATACAGGAGTATATGGAGCCCAGTAGAGCGTGCTATGGCGAATGTTCTAGAAGGGTTATTCAAGCCTGCAGTGTCGGACATGCAATAATTAAAAATCAGTTCACAGAGGGGCAGACAAAAAAATATGTTATGTTTCGTGTGACATACGATAAACTGAACAATTAAGGCTTTAAGAGATTCAGCTAGGCGCTAAGTATGTCTCCTGTATATGTCAAATCTGGTTTTGACATACTAAAGATATCTTAGTTGTCAAAGGTTCTAAAACTTATAATGATTGTATTAGATCCTGCTTATTTATTTCGTAATCCTCCAGCTAACATTAATTATTATACACAACAATTCGTCATAGTCGTAGAAATAGTGACGGATCCGACAAATAGAAAGCTTCCCTGTATCCGACGGATACAGGGCAGCCATTTCAAAATAATATAATCATGTTAGTTTTTGTCATAACTATTTAAATTCATATTCTGTTATGAAAATTGGCATACAAGCAAACAAAAGAGTTTGTTTTGAAACAAAATAAAAATAATAACATTAAATTACACAGTTTTCTAGAAAAATCACATGTTTCTATCAAATCCGTCACTTTATCGACTGATTAATTTGAAGTTTAAGACACATGGATTTTTTAAATGTAGCCGTAATATTTAGTCAATGTAGTATTCAAATATGATAAAAAGTGGATTTTGGATTTTTTTCAAATCCGACATTGTTCTACGATCATGACGAATTGTACAAAACATATAGCCACAGATGGAATACATATATATATATATATATACAAAAATGTTCAAACCTTAACAAAAATTATCAATAAAAATTATTATATACGTTATACTTCAGCTGTGCTGAGTGATGGTGTCTATGTGGGGTGTCCTCATGATGCAGGTGAATTTGCGCTGTGGATCTTCTTAATACTCCTTTCAAGCATATTCCGCGATAGCTTAAACAAGTCAAAGCTTAAATAGTGGTCGTTGTTTTTTTGAACACGTCTGCCCTACGATAAAAATTTACCTTTAACTGTAATTGTAAGTCGTGTTACAATTAAGCATTATTAGCACTTGCACCTCTAGACGAGCTGTCATTCCAAATGTGGGCCGAGTCACGGTTACGGCTAATTCTAATTACGCATATTACCGTTTGATAACGGACCGTTATTGTAGACATCATTCTTCAGACAGTTTTTCGTATGTTAATATTAATTTGAATACATATCAGACTTAACTTGAAGGAGGAGTTTTACAAGTCGACAAAAATAATGTGACTACGTCCACGACTTCCAAAATTGGCTAAGAGAATAAAAAAAGTAATGACTTGGTTAATATTTTATTTTTTTTGTGAAGAGAATTTAGTGTTATAATGTTAATATATTTTGGAAAGGCACAAAAATATTAAATAATGCGTCAGTTTTGCTTTGACTTGACGCCTTTGATAATAGATTCCAACCGAGTTCATGAAACACACACTGAACACTACATCTGACAGAAGAGACGAAAGACTTTTAGTTTTATAATAGGAGGGAGTGACATGATGCGTTTTCATTAAGAAATATTTATAATTTTAGTAATAGTGATGTCTGTGTTCTATAAAATTGAATCTGTTAATTTTTCCTTCGACCGGACACGCCACAATCAAGTCTAGATAACAAGATAACATTTCCATATGTATATGCAAACAAACATGACGTCAATAGGAGTCTTTTTTCTGTAAAATAATCGTGGTTTGCTCAAAACTTGGTAGAAATAAATATTACCATAGTCTAAGCTAAATAACATTTTTGGGGTAAAAGGTGTTGCCATCAACCAAGGTCTTACTACAATAATATTAAACACGTCGCGTTTTACTTCGATAAAATATTTATAACAACTTCACCTTTAAATGTAATTACAGTAATCCTACCTATATCGCGGTACTTCTATAACGCGGTATTCTCCCCCCCTATGTCATCAAAAACAGTTTTTCGAGAAAAACCCCTCGATTTCCCATACCGGTAGTTAGGTTGTATATTGGAACGAAATTAGTGGAATTTGAAAAAAAATGCGCCGTTTTTATATATTTTATTATATTTATGTATAACTAATTAATTTATTAGAAATATCAGCGTTTTGAAAAGGAATTTGATTTTCCAAAATATTCCATTAAAAATCTCGACAATTACGGCTAATTCGATAAGATCGTTGAACGGTAATTATAGCCATTAAAATAGCCTTTGCGATATGAATCCTTAATTAATTATTGCTCGGGGATGACATAAACACGCCCTTTGGTTAATGTTTGCTATCGTTATCTACTGTGCCATAAATGGCAGGAGCGAAGTATGATCAGCAAAAGCTTGTGTCGTCCATTTAATAGGAACTGCTTCTGAGTGATTTTTTTTAGTTTTCAAAGGTGACATATAGCGATGTGTCTGACTCTTTTATTCAGATTGGTAAGAGTAAGACAGCTATAGATTGTTTGCTTTGGTTTGATTATGTTGAGTTGTTCGTAATAATACCTGCAGCTGAGTTTCATCATCGGACGTCTTAGCATATTACAAAATACCATCCGTATCACCTCGACGTCCGTTTCACAACTGAGCGTTTCTTAAGGCAGTATTTTCTGCACCACTATGTGGAACCAGCTGCCCACTGAAGTATTTCCGAGCCAATTCGATTTAGGGTCCTTCAAGGAAAGAGCGTTCCAATTTTTAAAAGGCTGGCAACGTACTCGCGAGCCTTCTGGCAATGTGAGTATCAATGGGCGGCGGTATCACTTAACATCAGATGTAACTCCTTTCCGTTTAAAAAATGTAACTAATTTTAATAAATTCTTATTTGTGAAAAATATTACTTTAAAGCTAGTTTACGAGCACACAGACGAAACAATGCGCAATAAATCTTTATTAATTAGTTGTGGAACTGTTTTTGCTGACAGTACATTGCGTAGTTAATGTCGTGTGCACAGAATTTATCTATGACTGACGGCCCTAACAGATTTTACTAGAAGTTATAATGTTTCAAGTTGTGTGCAAACATTTTATTATACGTCGTGTTTGATGCGATGATAATTGTATTTATTTAAAAATGTCTAACCTAAATGCGTAATAGCGGTGTAAACAAATATATCCTCAAACATCCATGTTTGAGGATATATTTGTCGAGAGATGTGCCGACTCATATATGAAGAAAAATTATTTTTTAAATACTGCATAATATTGCCCTATTATTTTATATATTCTAATCGAGCCCCTTTTTTCGAGATCACAAAAAGAACGAGTAAATATTGAGCATGACGTGCAGAGTCGAGCTGTAACGCAAATTCGGCTCTGTACTTCGAGAGCAAACGACGTCTATGGTGAGAGAACGTTGAAGTACTTGCTACTGCGGCTAATAAAAAAAAAAGGCAAAATCATTTATTCATATAGTTACACAATGTACGCATGTAAACCTCAAAAAAGAAATATAGTATATTAAATGCTTCTAATTTTACATTTACTGCCAGTTCTCAAATCAAAGGTGTAGAAGAGAAGAAGTGGCAATAAACTATCCGCTATTCTATTTAATCGCCAAGTTTTTTGTTTTACATAACGTTTGTAAGGAGCTGCTACCATTACACCATGTTCCATATGACATCTTAAGTAATCAATAGTTAATTAATCATAATAAAATAAATTAAAAACAAAGATTTGTCCGGACATTAGATATTAGACAGCCTAAATTAATTAAAAAAAAAAATTTCTAAAAATTGCCTATTGTTAGAATTTTAGAAAAAGTTATATTAAGTATGAATTTTAATATATCTAATATTAAAATCAGGAAATATTTGTATTTTTGCCAGTCGAACAATTAAATTTGAAACCGTCTAGTTTCTTGGCTGCCACACCGCAGAAGAACAATTTCAATAACATCGTTTTAACTAATTCAATTGTCTGTTACTGTCAAAAATACTTAATTAAATTAATTCTTATTTCTTCCATAACAAACTTAATAGTAAATTCCATAATTTTAAATTATTTTTGTTTTTCTGACCGTTTTCAACACGCCTGATTGAGTGAGTGAAATATGTAACTACATATTAGGTATCAGAAGCATCTCCAACACTGCGTAAGTTGTGTTCATAAGCCAGTTCTTTAATAGTTATTTTGATTGTAGACGGTGAGCGGGTAGATATTAAGTAGCTATTTAATCTATTATAGATATAGTCTTCCTGCATATTCTGGCGAAGTCAGTCCTTTGCGGTGTGACCGACGACAACATCAAATGACAATAGACAAATCAGTACTTTAATTAAATCGGCTACATAATCACATTATTACTGTTATGGCAATATCTTGCTACGATGAAGCGTGGTTTTCGGCTCTACGACTATAGACTAAAGTTATTTTTTTTTTGCAGAGTGACGGAAAGATGGTGTTCGACGTCATCCAGCGAATGGAGGACACGGAGCCGTTCAGTGAGGAACTGCTGGCTGCCATGAAGAGGCTCTGGGCTGATGCCGGTGTCCAGGAGTGCTTCGGGCGTTCTAACGAGTATCAACTCAACGATTCAGCTAAATAGTAAGTTCTAGTGTAAAGCTATTTACATTTCAGTTATAGAGATGGGGATACCTATCTGGTACAATTTGTTGTTTATGTTACTTATATAAAAGATAATTGAAATGACTACATTTCAGTAAATTAAAGTTTATCTTAATATAAATTTTCAAAAAGCAAAATTATACTAATTTTCGTTTTATTATTACAATTAACATTGAAACGTATAGTTTTAAACTTTGTAATAATTGAAAGCGTTTTCATCTGTAAAAAGCTTCATTTAAAAATTCATAGATTACAAACAATCATCCGCTGTATACTTTTCATTACTGTTACTTAACTTTAACATTATGTCTATTGTACCTAAAGCTTAATACAAAAAACTATACATTAAAGCTACAACAGTACGAATTGCAATATGCAGTTTTCCCAATCCTTTTTAGGGAATGTTCATTTTAGTATCAGTCCAGCAACCATTTAATTAAACGCTGGATTATTGCCTTTGTGCCTTTGCTTCAATGTGAACTGGAGTGGTTCGTTAGGGATGTAGGTGGGAGTAACGCTGTACGTGAGCTCGCTGTGTCGCCATGAAACTTGGTATTTGTGGAATATCTGTAAAACGGTTCACTCATCATGTTCATCGTTATTCTACTGCATACAAATTTTTCAAGAGAGTTCATATTCAAGTATAGCACTTTTCAAGTTTTCATATGAATATTTAGACTCCGCGTTTTAGTGTAATACAATTATTTTCCAGTTTTATACTAAGATTTATAAATTTAAAGCGTAGCGTTTTGATGTTGCATAGGTTGAATGTTAGTAGTGATATTTTAATGAAAGAATCATTAGTATATAATACAGATTTAAAAGCACATAATAAAATAATTAAGCTATATACAAAATACGTTGCCTGATATAAAATTTGTACTGGATCAGTCTCACCTTGGCTAGCAATATATGTAACTCGGCTTCGGCGAATCTTTTTCCAATACACATTCTTCGTCCGAATCCAAAAGGCAGCGAGGCGAACGGATGAATACCTTTTTCTTTTTGCCTCTTACACACGGTCGCTGCATTGGAATCTGTCGTGTCAATCGATTGACCCCTTAACCACCTCTCTGGTATGAATTCTTGGGGCGAAGGAAAGTATCTTTCTTCGTTCGACATTATGTAATGCGGGAATACGACGTGCGACTGTAATATTAAATGGGATTGATCTTATTATAGGTACACAATTAAAGAAGATATTAGTTTAGATTTTCCAACTAAAGGTACATAAAAAATTAAATAATGATTCTATCAATTTGATATAATGGCAATACAATATATACTGAGTTTTTTTTTGTATTTACAAACACGAAATACCAGCGTAACAACGATATTAGACAAAATTCAATTCGTGTTCATGCAATGATAACGTCGAGAAAGTTTTTTATTTTTTGCTAATATAATTCTTTTAGGTACAAGCTTTGTGATTAATGCGTTTTTCTTATATCTGTAACTGCATGTAAGCATGTTTAATCTGAATAAAAGCATCGCTTCAAAACCGTTCAAAGCAATTGTACTCACTCCTTTAGGAACTTCATATCCCGATATAACAGTATCCGATTGAATGCATCTCCCGTTACCCAATATTACTGGTTTTATTCTGTAAAAAAATCTGTATTAGATTTCACCAAGCCCTTTGGGAATCTCGGGTGCAGTTGCGGACAAACTAACAGAAATAAGGTTTATTCTTATACATTTTTAAGTAATATATAAGATACAGAGTATCAGAGTACAATGAATCATTTGTGGAACGTATTAGTTTTGCATTTCTTACACTGATAACAGTATCACACTTGACGAGTTCATTGTATTAATTATTGCATAAGAAAATATACAAGTTTTTCATGTTGTACCAGTATTATGTGATTGTATGCTCCAATTGTAAAGGAAATATCTATTTTAGTGTAAAATAATTTGATCCTTAAAAATTTGTGTTTGTGTGTTAATTCTCCTTTTCCTGAATGTTTAACGTAATACAATGTTGCTATTTGTTGCTTATCAATTGTTATAATGAGTCATTCAATGAGTCCATAAACTTATCCTTCTTATACTAGCTGTCCCGGTTTCGTATGGCTTCTATATATATTCTATATACTATGTTGATCAGGGATAATGTAGGATTCTAATGGTGTCAAGAGTTTTTCAAATCGGTTAGGGGGCGTCCAAAATTACGTGAGGTGTTTTTTATAATTTTCTGACCCTCCCTCCCCCTGGTGAGATGTCGTGAGATTTTGTTCAACCCCTCCCCTCCCCCAATCTCACGTGAGTTTTTCAAAATGTGGGTTTCTTACGTAAACGGTTGGATTGTTATTGTAAAAAGAAAAAAAAGTTTGTTCGTGCTTTTATTTAAGACTAGTAATCAATATTGCTGAGATTTAATTATAAGTGTAATAAAAATTTAACAATAGAATACTTAAATCGTAACTACTGTGATTAAAAAAAGAATATTACTCTAATTCAGTCCATGGATAATCATGCGCGGCTCAAGAGAGATATTGGAACCAACATGTCCATATGATTTTCAGTAAAATCATCTGCTCCTTCAACTTCGTTCTGATCTAGCCACTCTAAACCATTGGCACTTGCACACAGTAACTCATTAGCTCGTCTTGTGACAATCCGTGAGGGTCGGACCTTGCGGAACATACGCGTTGTTAGCTGGGCAATGTGGGCTGACGCCTGTGCTCTGTAGCTTTTGTAGATGCAAAGTAAATACCGCATGTACTGCAGCATCTTTTCTCTAAATCATCACGAACACTTGGGCAATAGAGATCATAAGGCGTGATGAAGGCATTCAGCGGTTGAATGGTAGGAGTGGCGTATTAAAAATGGAACAAATGATTTCCGTCATGTCTTTAAAGTCCGGAATTGTCAAATGTCCATCAACTTGAGTGATAGGGTATGGAGGCGGCAGAAAACGGTCGTGAAGAATCATATGCAGATCACTCCGGCGTGGGCTGCAGACTTTGGTCATCGCATTTTACAACCTAAAAAAAAATTAATAACTCTTAATAAAAATTTGTTGATTCGTGTCGTTTAAAAAAAAAAAAAAGGCACGTATAGAAATTTGATATGAACCAACTGCTAATGTACCTGGAGTAAATATTGGCTTTCTCTAACGTGCTCAGTGTACCATTCTTCGGCTGGCAGGTCTGGAACGCTAGAAGTTTCATTATTCGGCTCTATATATTCAGCGACTACTTCGTGTCCGTCAATGCACACTGCAGACCATATTTCAGCCAAAAATATCCCCTGCCTTTTTGAAATTATCCTTTTCCAGACTTTCGTTTAATGTTCTGCCGCTGGAGTCAAGATGTGTCCCAAAAGAATCATGGGGAAGAACAACGCCTGTTAGTTCTCGACTGAGTGGAGCCATGCGTCTCTCTACTTGTTGAATGCGCTCCGGCCAGGGGCATTAGTCACAATAAATACTGCGTCCAAATCATATAGTTTAAAATGCGCTATGGCGTGTGCGATCACTTTGTGATATCGCGGATTTTCGTCAGGCCCACCGTCGTTGAAATTATAAGAAAGGTTTAACTTTTCTGTCTATATTTTTTGTAAATTTGGAAAAAGGCTCAATTGTTAAAAGAGTGTCCAAATCTTGAGCGTGACTAGTTGCAGTTGACGAAGAGTGCTTGCCACTTCGTATTGTAGAAGTTGGTCCACTATATGAAACAGCTTCTGGTCGTCCCATCTATTGGGTCTCACTTCACACAAAGCATACACGCTTGGAATTAATTTGTGCCTCGAAGCAATCACAAAGTCGTGGTCTGGTAACGACACTTTATATGCAACGTGCATTAATAATGGCGCCTGCTTGTTTGCCGCTGTCAGGCCGATGGGGACGCGGGCTTTGTCATCCTGAGATAAAAAATTAGGAGTCAGGACCAAGTACCGAGGTATCGTTTCCAGCGACCTTATGGAGGCCACAGAAAAGTATTGGCTTGGTGTGCCTTATGATGGTCAGTTCAGGACGACTCAGCTTCACCGGCACAGTATACATGGCGCTTAGCTTCTGTGTATTTGCCCGTCTAGGCAACAGTCGAATATAAGTAGCACTTCGTGAAATATTAAATCCCAGCTCGCTTAGTTTATTTGTAAGTTTGATAGCGTATGGACCGTGCGAACTATCTCACAACGACGACGCTCTTCAGCAGAAGCACCAAACAGGGCTAAATCACTTATTGTTTTTAGCAATCAGACTGTTTTTTTCTAAACGTGGGCGTCCAGGGCCAGCACGGGGCGTCAACGACTTAGCTGCATCGGGATTTTTGAACATAGTTCAATTATTGTTGTTTTCTATTTGTTCTGTGGTCATAGAGTACACTTTTGTTTTTCTTTAAGTTGAGCTTCTTCTCACAAATGTCAATTTCTCGCCGCAAATTACATGCTTTATCAAATTCAGTGCCGTCAGCTACAAGAGACCTTTTGCGCCTTTCCGTTAAGTCAAGCTCCATATGAGCTTAGTAATCTTTTTCTTCATATATCTTGTGCTGGAGTGGGAGTAGTTGAGGGTAGGTGCAAGTTCATCCTCACATCTCTGATCACAAGAGGCAGATTTTTCCGTTTCGAAGCGCCTGTGAAATGCAGAAAACTTTTATTTAGAATAGGACAAAATGAAGAAAACGTCACCTATAGAAAGAAAGACGACCTCCACATTCCACGTTTGGAACACTCTCAGTGCTTGTCCCAGCCTGATTCGAAGAACTGTTAGAAATCTTAGTGTTAGTCTGAAATCAAAGCATCATAATATTAAGAAATAAATCTAATAAATTATAAAGATAGATTAACACAAAATTAAGAAATATTGAATTATGTGAAAACAGTTGAAATGACCGCGCTAATATTTTGTAGTATTATGATTTTAGCATATTTTATCAAGAATTTCACTGTTTCAGTTTTTTTAATGCTATGAAGGAGGTCCTTTCGCCATCAATGTTAAATAAAAAATATTAGATTATGCATATTAAAATT